AAAACCATGGGGAAGAAGCTGAAGATTTTGGCCCGAACGGGCTTGGGCGGCAGCCAACGCTGTGGCAGCGCCATGACGAACGCCATGGAGAGCAACCTCCCTGACACGATTCGGGATGTCATGCAAACAAACCACCGGAACGGCGCCCCTGGCATTGACAAATCCCGCCGCATGATCCGTAGCTGATCGAGGGCTCTCCAGTTGGGCAGATAGATCTAAAAGATTCAAAGGGGAGGTGATCAGAGTCTCGGAGACAAAATTGAAAAGAAGCAGAGGTTACGACAAGTATCTCACCCGTAATTCTGGCCTCGGCCTTGGCCAACCTATCCTCCACCGAATCGACCATAGGAGGTGATCGGCATCGAACCATGGCCAGGGCCGATTCTGCAAGGGATAAACACTCAGCGAGGCTCTGGTCATGTCGATCAATGGAGGCAAGCAGATCATCATTATCAATCCACCTCATCTGATGGCAAGAGGGCTGGCGGCAAGCCATCAACGAGGAAGGCCCTGAAGGCCGAACGGAGTCGGCCCTGTTCCCCGAGGCAGCGAAGGCATCACGGGATATACCCTCCTGACGACGAAGGCGCTGACATGATGATGTAGACCCGATGAAGACCTTCTCAGGAAACCTCTTGCTGTTCTCCATGATCTCTGACCTACGGAAAAGCAGGAACTATGCTAAGGGTGCAGAAGGTTTGAGGCAAAGTGAGTTATCCTTAGATCAACTGCCGAGGCCCGTTTATATAGCCCAGGAAGGCGAGAAGATAGATTTCGCCAGGGGTATGAGGTTGGAATCAGAAATGGAAGCGGAACGGCACTCCGGAAGTTCAGGAGATGGATGATGAAGAAATAACAGATTCAGACTTATTGCTTCCTCAAATTACAAAAGATCTAAAAAAGATTCAGAGATTTTACCAAAGATCAGCCTATCCAGTTTATTTTGGATTGAAGGGAGTTCGGGCCCCAACAAGGCCAAAGTCCGTCACGAGGCGAGTTGACATTGGCCCATTGCTAACATTATGCCCAAGGAGAGAGGAAATCGCCCTCCTAAACATAAATTCAACCGATTTTTCGATAAATCAAAAAACTATGGGGAAGAAGCCTATGGCTTTCCCTGTGGGCATTCAGTGGAGTAAATAAGGGGAAGGTGTCCACACATTTTAGCCCTTGCAAACACTAGGATAGCTTTACGAGCATGGAGAGAAGACTCAGGTGATATCACAAGAATTCTCCTAACTGCAATAGCTGATCATCTTGCTCGACAGGACGCTAGAATGAGCGACACAATCACCCTATGCACAAGAATTCTCCTAACCGCTCAAGATCTACATAGCAAAAGGATAAACCAAGGAGGATCCAGCAGGATCGGAAACACCCGAGGAGGCAGATAGAAGTGGAACATGGCTGAATCGTTGAGTTTGCTCTTACCAAGGTCAGATAGCCATTTTTATAGCCGGCTTGGAAGGATGAATCCAAAACGCCCGTGAAGCAATAATGCTCTGAAAAAGTTTTCAAGCATGGGCTCATGAGTTGATATGGACGGCGATGAATAGTAGACCCCAGGTCAAGATTCCTTGCCCGTGGCTACGGGCCTATCGGGAGCACGAACATGGTAATTTTGGAACAAAATTTCTTTTGTCCCAAAATTGGGGGGCATGTGTTTACACCAAAATTTGGAAGGAGAGTCATAGGGACCCAGAAGCTCCCAGGATCGTATCATCAAGGGATCAGTTGCGGGCGGATCAGAAACAGTTGATTCAGACGCAAAATCTAGGAATCGGCTTTCTTCAGACAGCGCCAGCAGATAACGACAGAGGCTACGCTCGACGCCAGGACGAAAACATGTTGAACTCTACAAAAAGGGAAATATTAGAGTCCAAATTATCTTAAATTAGGAATGTTTTTGTTTTATGCCAAAGGTTGTAACAAATCGTGCTCGAGTAGGATTCATGTTTAGACTCTGGGTATAAATACCAAACCCCGGCTATTGTAAGAATCAATCAATCAAATACAAGTCAATTACTTTTTTCAGCTTCGGCCACCCCTTAGGAGTAGGAGTAGAGTAGATCTCGGCGAGTTCTTCGGCAAGTACGGCTGCATCGATCCGGTCAACCTCCACTGCTTGTTGTAAGTACCGTCATGGTTTATACCTCTGTTCGTATGGCTGCATCGATCTGGTCGATCTCCACTGCGGCTCTGGTATAAGCTAGTTATCGACTCTTGCCTAATTCAAGTATGGCCTGTGTGATTCTGCCTCACACCCCACTGCTTGAATTGGATCAAGGTCAAGTTATCGGCTCTATCTTAGAGTGGCAGTCTTTGGTAGATTCATTAAGTTACCGATATTGCTTATTGCTTTCATTGTTTATCTAATTACAGCAATATCACTCTGCCTGATTGATATTGATCTGGATCGGCCTTATATTTTGTTTAACTCATCGTTTACTAATCTAAAACTGATCTAATCTACATCTTAAGCGATGAGTTATGTTTTTATCAGCTGTTTTGCGTCAATCTTAATCGTGCATAGCGTGCGGTTAAGGCATGTTCGATCTTGAGTAGATCTATCGGTTAGCGAGAACCGTTTCATGGCCCGTCATCACGGCATGTGGGATTCTGCCTCTCACCCCACTGTTGGCACCGTGGAATGGGGATCGTTGGTTGATAGACCCGTTCTGAGAAGACATGACCTTAACTGTGCGCTATGCCTGAATCAGCTGTTTAGCCGATATCGAATGCTTTCACGAATAGTTCACATCACGAGATCGTTGAAATAGAGATAAGTTGAAAGATGTGTTAGCCCCATGATCTTGTTATTGTATTACGGCCTGCATGATTCTGCCTCATGCCCCACTGATATTAGTAATGAATTAGGGTCGTCGAGTCTATTGTTGTTTTTATGGCCTGCATGATTCTGTCTCATGCCCCACTGGTCATGGCGATAGATGAGATCTAACATGTTCATTAGATTTATCTTTATTAAATGATTAAGTGATGTTGAATTGTTTCTTTATATAAAAAGGAGTTCGGTTACTCGTAATCATTGGCTCAGTATGGACCGATCATTATTGATATCTTATTGTCATTGATTAATATTCGTTTAAATGATATTTATCCTGAATGATAACCGATTCTCTTCACACGACCCCATGAGCTCGGACTGACTTATTCTCATGAATATACTGGAATCGGCTATTTAGCCGATTTTCTTTCACATCGGCTCTCACAGCCATACATTCGGGACTATCTGGTAACACCAGCAAATTCCGCCCTTAATTACTGATGAACTTTCTCTCCTTGTCAATTGTAAGGTTAAATTGACTGGCACGCCTCGGGAGGATTACGCAGGATCGACCATCCCTGCACTGAAGCTAGGAGGATCTGCTCCATCGAGCGGATCCTTCCGGCTTACTGCGTGTGTCCTCGGCACGCGACGAAATTATGTATCGACACTATCCCTTCATGTCAGGAGCTTGGTAAGTTTAGGAGATCCTTATGTTATGTTTGTGGGGTGTATTTTATATGTCCAGTCCTCTGACGTGGTCTGAGTAAAGGTTCATGTGTCCAAATCGTCGCTGTAGTGACCTCCATGGCCGTCGGGATCTACTCCATGGGCTCCCTTGTTCTCCAGCACAACCCCCAACAACTTTGAATCAAAGGTCCTGCCCGACTCCCACTAACTGGATGTTTGCATAACTGATGCTTAATGGAGCGTTCTGTGGTAGTTTTTGTTGTCCAAGTATCTGTTTTGCCTTTCCTTCTATTTCTGTACTGTTTTTTTGATGCGCAATGCACAAGGATTGCCTCTTGTTCAAGCATAAATATTCCACTTGGAGTTCCTCATGATTGACCAGGAAGTAGGAACTGTTGTTCACTGTTTCAGGGGAAACAATAACAGGACAAACAATAAGATCCATAATTGTAGCATTTGTGCATATATCTGGTTGTTGCAGTCACCTACAATATTCATAACATCTATAGTTGTATTTCTGATCTTGAAACTAATGACAAAGTGGTGTTATCATGGTATATATACATAATAATAAAACAATGGTTTCATGTATGGCCATATTAGTATGGTAAATTACCATTTGTTTCATTATAGAAATTCTGATCCACTTCTCGAATAATCTTGTTGCTTTCCATTGGTAATCAGGTAACTACTAATTTCTATCGAGGATCTGTGACCTATCTAAAAGAAAAGGATTAGAACCAGACTTGTGGCGTATATGACGAGTCAGACCATATATGTGGTTCTGTTCTGATTACCACAGAGCAATGTAACAATGCATAGCTCCAGTCAGTTCATAGCCATAGGTAAGTTAATTTGGAACCATGCCGTGGTACTCCCCAACTCTGCTGTGATGCTTCTTTCGCTGTGATGTGCCAATGGTTGAATAGGTTAGACTGCATTTGATTAGTCTAGATTCTAACAGCATCCAACTATTCTGATGTGTTGATTCTTTTTATAGGTGCAGTGATCCGAGTCGATTTAAATCAAATTGTGACTTGATTCATACAGGTTGGTATGTCATTCTTCATGTAAATTGGAGTTTGTTCTAACTGTACCATTGTCTATAGACTGTAGTGATCAAAATTGGATGGCAGAGACTTTTATTGCAGTAGTATGGCAGAGATGCATCTCATGCTATTGCTAACTAAATTTCAGAGTTACCAATTATCAGAACAGGTATTAGATAGGTGAACTATTGTTACTCCTAAATTGAATAGCCATCCACTTAGCCATAAATTATGCCGTGCTTTTCAAGTTGCATTAGTGGTTAACACTTAAAAATGAGTAGTGTCTCACTGAAATGCAAGACTCTGAATGTCTGAACTCTGAATTCCTCCTAGCCTTCCCCTTAAACCATTTACTTAATGCCCTCTTGCAGGTCTTAGTTGCTGTTGTCTTGAGTCTGCAGTTAACTATTGTGAAAGTTGCTATACTAAGATGTAGATGACAAGGCAAGAACAATTGGTTGCAGAGCTATATCCCGATGGGCTGCTCTCGCTGCCCCGTGCCGCCGCTGCCGCTTGCTAGGAGGGTCGTCGTCACGTGCACGGGGCTCTTCGGCGATGGTGAGCCGGAGCTGGGTTTGTCAACGGTAGAGGAGGTCTGGATCGGCGCCTCCCCGATGCGGCCATCCACCTTCCTCTAGGAGATGCAGGATGGCCGGGCTCCCACCTGACGACAGTAGGTAGCGGCAGCCCGCCTCGCTCTAGATCTGGTCTGTAGTCTCCTTCTCCACCTCTCTATGTTCTTATGCATCAGCAACCTGCCTCTGCCGGCGGTGGGGGGGTGGGTCCTCTTTCTGGAGTCCAGCAATGGAGCAGTCAGAGGAACTGCGACAGTTGTCATCTCTGGTGCAGCAAACAACAGAAGCAGCATTCAAGGCGGAAGCCGTCAGTGAGCTCAGTGCTAGATAGTGTTACCAGGGAGTATCCTTCCACCAAGTACGAGCTGCTCCATGAGCTTGCTGCGACTCTTACTCTGGAATTATTATTTCATTAATTCTATTATGTCTATTTGTAGAATGCCTGAAGCTTTGAGTTGTTTTGTGCAATGCAACATTCCATTGGGAATGCAGGGAAAAGTTCATATGAGCAAGGTATATCAGAACGCCGGAGCTTGTGGCTGTCAACATCATGTCATTAACAAAAGGGGTTTACTTTCTAGCTTCTTATTACAAAGTTCGGTGAATATTCCGAAACGCCACCTGAGACATATTTCATATTTGGCAACCATATTGCTTTTGTGTGAGCATTTGTTTGCATGGGCTTAATTGTGAGATAATCTCATAAATGTGCTTGCTGTCTGTTTTCTGAGTCCTTGCATTTTTCCAAAATATAGGTATGTATCTCTGGTTTTCAGGAAGAAGGATATGAAGACATACGGGGAGAAATTGAGATGCTGCAGCAATGCAGACGTCCAAATGTTGTCCGCTACTTTGGAAGCTATCAAGGAGTGAAATACCTATGGGTACAATCAAATAGCCTTATATCCATTTTATTAATAACATTAAGAAATAGAGAAACTATTCTATCATTGAGAGAGTGCTAATATCACGATTGGTCAGGGCAGTGTTAGTTAGAAAATTCAATTTTATGGATAGATTAGCATATGTTACCCCTTTGTACTAAGCAGGATGTTCCAGTTTCTCATATACTTTGTATATGTTGTGGTACACATCCTTTCAACATTGACAGAATGATTTACATGCCTTATTTTGGCTTCTTTGAAAAGAATGTTTGGATGTGGAGAAAGTTTACTTGAACTTAAGGAGATGACACAGAAAATTTTAATAATACCCTCTAATAGCTTTCTTATTGTCTTAATATAGCTTCTTTGAAAAGGCCAGATCTGCAAAGACTATGGCAATTATCCATAGACTTTGCAAGTATAAAGTATTTCTCTTATTTGCATAGACAAGGCCTTTCACAACTGATTTTATTATCTTATTTGTTATACTCTATCTCACTATTGTAGAAAAATCTATTATCGAATTACTCACAGGCTGATAATAAAAGCTGTATTTTGCATTCAACAAGTACCCCTGCATTTTTTTTTTTTTTTTGAGCAGGTGCTATGCTGCATAGACAATCAGCTAAATTGTTTTGCTGCATATTCAACAAGCTGCCATATGAATGCGACTCTTGTTACATTTTCATATTTTAACTTCTATAGTTTTCAGAAGAATTTTTTGTCACATCTAGATAGTTAAACTTTTGTCCTCCCAAAAGTCAACATTTAACAAGTTGCCTCGTGGGGATTTCAGAGGTTTGTCGTGCTATGGTTTCTAATGTTCTCTTTCTCTCTGCCATGGGATGGTCTGAGTGAAAGAAGGGGGCTTTGCTTTCTGTGTCATGTAATGCAAGGTTCTGGACCTGCAGGAGGGGGATGTCCTTTCTCTGTGCCATGCAATGCATGGTGCTGAGCGAAGGGAGGGGTTGTTCTTGTATATGGACCACTGGTGAGGTTTAAGGGATGGATTGCTATGTTCTTTTCCTTGCTTTCTAGCACTAGTTTAATTTGACAGCCTTGTTGCATTTGTTGATATCTACACAGATCCATTGCATGGCATGTACAAATGTTTCAGTAATTTGAAAAATTTCTGAATTAGTAGTTTCCTATTCCTTTATGCAACTCAGCATGCCTGGGCAGACCTCTCCTTTCTCATTATTTTAATGACCCTTTATATGATTCTCTTTTAATTTTTGGTTCTTTTCCTTTTTTCTATTATGTTGTATTCTTGGCTGTAGGATCTCCCTTTTCTTGCTGACAAATAGAAAAGGTGGAATCGCATCATTTGTTTTTTGTTATCTCTTCAAAATTGATTTTGTTGGTTGATTTGAGTAGAGCGACATCGTTGTTATCTAGCTAACATGTGCATGCCTGTTTGTCTTTTTCCAGATGGGTTATCTAGATTTGATCTCCTTTGCATTCAGTTCCAGTTGATCTCGTGATTGTTACTTCAAAGGGTTTCAGTTAAGGGAAAAGAAAAACAGTTCTTCAACCAATACAAATGTGTGGTGTGGGTTGTTTCTAGGAGCGCTAATCATCTATGGCAGTTTTGCAAATAAAATGAAAACCCTTTGTTTTTCCTGATCTTCTATTTTTTAGGTTTCAGAGAAACACGTCAACTGAATTTGGATTTAAGGGTTATCTGATTGCTCCCCTGTTTTAGTCATCTTTTGGTGGGCATGTTCAGCTGCCTTGCACTGAACTCAAATGTTTCCCTCCAATATGATATCTCATTCCAATCTATAGTTAATTTGTACTCATGTTACTTCAGTTTTTGTCTGAATATTTTTGCTTTGCTCCTACAGAAGTTATTCTTCAGGGTGCCATGGCATTAATATTAATTGTCATGGTTTGACATTTCTCCGTGTTCTTGCATACTTGCATTATTAGCAATATTTGTGTCTCCACTCCATGTTAGATTTCTGCATATGCATGTCGCCAGTTGCTGCCACGTGGATTATTTAGGCCTTTACTGATTTAATGTTGATCTTTCTTATTTTTCCATCTATTTGGCTTACTGCATCTTCCAAAATCAAAAGAGTGCATCCTAGCATGATAAAAGGAAAACTTATGGTATTTTTAGTTACATTTTCTATGCTTGAAGTTGCAGCTACTATTTCCATTTACAATTGCTCTGCTCTACAGATTATCAATTATTGTGCTACCATTCACCAAGCATGAGCACAGGACAGTTTCCAATCACATGTTCTGGTGAAGCAGAGGACCTTAGCCTTGTAGATGAAAGGATAAAGTTTTCCATCTCCGAGAAATGAAGTCCCTGAATCTGAAATTTGGAATTTCCAATCAGAATAAGAAGGGATATGATGAGTTTTGCACTTGCTGTTAGCTTTCATGACTAATAGGGTCTTGACCGAGGTGACCTTGTGTGGGCTAAAATTACAGGTGGTCATCAGAAGTTCAATTTCAATTTAAATATATCGGAATACAGTTGTGTAGTGCTTCATTTATCTGGTGTTGGGTGAAATGTTTCATTATAGTCCGAACACAGTTTGTCTTTTGAGCTCCATCACATGTGCTAGATGATGTCACTAAGTCTCTATCATAGAAACTGTTTTCAATTACAGTATCATGTATCCCCTTCATAGCTTTGCTTTTATGATATTTTACATAATTGTCGGAAATGTTATTGTATGCACTTGCCTTTTTTCAAAGGCTTACATTCATGATCTTTGATCTGATTGGTTTAATTTGTTTAATTTGTGGCCCTTTCCTTTTTTTTTTTTGTCTGTAAGTGGTCTGCTGGCTTTCTTAGTCACCAAAAATTATTCTGTCTTCTCTAATGGGACCTGATGTGCTTGAACAGGTCATGCAATGTGGCTGCGATGAGTCTAATGCACCTGGAACCTGAGCTTTGAAGTCAATTCAATCGGACCAATCAATCTTGTGTGATTTGTTTCAAATGTTTAGAATCCAGTCATTTAGAAGGCTTAGTTTGTTTTAAAATGTCTAGTGCCAGCCCGCACGCAAGGGGGCGCACTAATCACTAGTTATATCAATCATGCTGATGTGCTCAGTAAAATTCTTGGGTTTACTCTAGCGGCCATCTTCATGAGGTTTAGATTCCACTAGAAGCCTAGACCTGTCTAGATTATATGGATTATTCTTCAAAACTTTTTGAAGGTAATACTGAAATAGATAAATTCAGTGCGATGCATATAAAAAACAGAGCATGAGTTTTTTTCTCTCAAATGCAGGCTACATAACTATCAATTTAGATGTTCCGTCATGCATAGTGGATAACAATTTTTTACTTTGGTTAAAATTTGTCAACTGATAATTCTTTGATTAAAATTACTACAGTTTTGATCTTGTCTCACTCGTTGAAAGTAATTTTGTCTCTCATATGTTTTGTATGTATTAGTGTGTCCACAAAAGTATTATTGTCAAAGGAAGATATCGACAATTAGATCAAATTAGTATGTCTTGAACAGAAATTTGGGGCTGACCAATGTACAATTAGCAATTAAGGGTCTACTATTGGTGTATATAGTAGCATTTATAATATTATATGTGATCACACCTAGCGAATAAAAGGTCCTTACTGATGAGTAGATTGTCCAATGTACGCTATAACGTGCGAGTGATAGTGATCAATAATGCTTGAAGTTTGAAGCCTTCAACCCATGCATTGCCGACTTCAGCAATTGAGTTGACTTGCTTTGGTTAATCAATTGCGTTTTACAGTCTGCAGATTTGTTTAGTTATGTGCCCCTACCATTTGGTAGCTACAACTGAAATTCCTGTGCCCTGGCAATTTGGAAAACACATTGCCTGATCTTTTCCACTTGATTTATTTCAACATGGTCATTCATGAATTGTTTTCTGTAAAATAATGTAACCCAAGCGGCCTCTAGTCCAGCCCACCAAAATACCCAAAACCAGGGCATTTTGATTTCTATACATACATATACTAGTATATTTTGGGTTCTGAACCTTCAGATTTCGTACGAATTTACCAACTCTACCATTCCAATTTCAGCCATCTGGCCACGTCTAATGTTCCTGTCCGGCCGGGATCTGGGAGACACTACTTAATTAGTACTGATTTCATGTTGACTTTGATAATTTCCATGATGAGAATCATACTCTTTCACTACGCAGATTCTCCAACCAACCATAGCACGTCATGCCCCTGATAGCAACGTGGTGCCCTGCAAATGCCCAGTGCTCACAGATCCTCATTTGGCTGTTCATCCTTGTCGTTCTTGCTTTGATTTTCTTTCCGTTGCATTCTTAGTGTCATCATCTCCCGGTTTTATTTTCTCTCAGGATTATACAATAGAAAAAAAAGTTAGAACTCTTCACAGTTCAACTCTGTTATTTAATTTTACAAGATGGGGATATGTACTGTTCAACTCGCTAATGAAATCACCGTCTTAAATATTTTTATGATTTAATTTAATTTCTTTTATCTTTTTATATGTGGTCTAGTATTCTTATATATTCTATTTACCATTCTACGCAATTGATTCTGATTTTGTAAACAGGTAAAGCTCTAAGAATAACACAAAAAGAATCATTTCTCATTGGTTCTCATGCAAACTTTCCTCCTGATTTTGTGTGCAACGAGCTCAAGTAAACTCAAATTTTCATCATGATGCTACAGATGAAAGCAACTGTGTGCCTTGTCTGCTAATTTAGCAGTGTAAAAGCTGAGCCAGAATCCACATCATCATATTTCTTGTTGTCTATCCTTCCTAGACTGTCCCTTTCAGCTACTCGGTAACTCAAAGACAAAGACATCTATCTCTTGGGGCCATGTCAAAAGGTCGGTAACCCAAGTTGCGCAATGCTTGCTAATGAACTGGTACTGCTCCATGACCCAATGCCGTGTGAATGTGTGCAGCTGCAGTCAGCGTCCTGATTGCTCGTTCTGTGAGCAAAGATCAGGTAGATTGTCGACAGCTACTTCGAACAAAACAATAGATTATATCAGGGGAGAACTCCTTTTGCTTATTATTTAGAGTAGTTGTTGTGTATGGTACATAGAGAGTAGCTACCAGTCTTGCTATGAAGTG